CCCTATAGAAATTGACAAATTACGACTAGACTGCAAACTAACCCTATGATTACTTTTGCCTGCAGGTTGGGATTAATAAACCTTTGTAGATATGAAGACTTGAATGAATTTCGTATTAAATACTCCACAACATTCCATAACAAATCTTCGCTAATTCGAAGAAAATCGTAACATGCAGTGAACTATAATAGCAATACTATCCACTAGCATCTTTATTGTTCTATGCACACACATACACACATATATATATATATATATATATACAAATACATATACATTAGGCTTACAGAGAAAAAGGGCTCCGAATACACCCCTTCCACATTTTTATAATTCTGCATAATTTCATGTCAGGCTGATTTCTCAGACCTCTTCACGGAGTACCATTTCCGCTCAGTCTGTCTTGCCTGTCCTCGAAAAAAGGTAAAGAGAATGAGACGCTAAATCGTCTTGTCGTCTTGTCATCTTGTCCTCTTTGCTTAAGCCTCATTTCAGTCTTGCCTCGTTGAAACTGGCTGCTATTATGTCTCATGCTTACTGACGAATATGCAAGCCAACGAATGCTTCACTTCCACATTCGAATAGAATATGAAGAAAAAGTGGGTTTCCGGTGAGACCGCATCACGAATTGCTTCCAACCAACTTTCCCTTCGAAATGGAGAGTCATGCCACAACATTCGAATATGACTTGATGAGGTGTGAAACTAAGGACGACTTTTTGAGGACGCCTGCCTCTTTCCTCACCTCGAGTGTCTGGCCAGAATTAGCGACGATTCACTGATCTGGTTTATTGGGCCAACTTCCATTTCGAGTGAAATTGTGAGCTCAAGGGCTTCGAAGCTCAATCCCACCAGAAGAGGACGGCGGATTCATCTTGATTGAAACACTTTTTTCTGTTTCCGAGGCAATCTTCTTCTATTCTGGTGCAAACATGCTAAGCTTTCAGAAGTGGGTTGACCTCGTTGTCGCAACTTGGTCTTGTGTTCAGGGAGACTATGTAGAA